CGATAACTTGTTCAAGTCGTTACCTCTCGGATATTAAAGATATTGAGAACATTGTTCTTACCTGTTAGTAAAAATTTATAACAAATTCATAATTTCATATGCAATATACTACATATGTGTACCCGAAACTAAAGTTCAACCCCCTGTCGTTTCATTTATCATAATTATAAATTTTGCAATACCTGGTATCGCTTCAATTAAAATTATTTATTAATTACTGCGATGTGGGTCGCTAATGAGCTCTGCGGCAGTCAACGTGTTAAATCTTTGATCGAATCGCTCAAAGATCTCACGATTTGACTGGTTAGAATGCCTTGAAATATCACGCATGATATCTCGAAGCGGTAACGGAATTTTTCTTTTTACAACACTCTATCGAACGTAAAGGGACATTATTATGCTGGCTTAAGTAGCAGCCGACTTTGTCAAACATTGACAGTAATCGTCGATGCGTGTCATGCGATAATTCCAACCTGATAATGTTAAATGACAGAGCGCCAAAGGAATCTGCAGCGATCTCGTTTAATACATTCTCTCCCTCTATACGAATACGAAATGAACACCGACAAACTTGACGTACTCCTTAACCCGTAAAGAAATGATCTTCGACGGAAATGACGTGAAAACGAGCTGTATTTCTTCATCAGTATCTTACAAACATATTTGATGTAATAATTAAATTTCATCATTGGCGTAACAAGGTAGAGACACCGTAGGTCTGTACCACTCATTACGCTGAAAATTTTTTAATTTTTAATGAGAATCCTTGATTTTTAATCCGTGGAATTTCGTCCTGTTCGTTCTCCAACGCTTGAAATGCTTTTACCTATCACAAATACTCTGGTCCACGGGGTAGAGATTAAAATAGACTCGTAAAGCAAGGAAGGAATGTTCGGTACGCGAAAATATGCTAATACCAAGTTGGAAGGATTGTTTTCGCATTCCTGGAAAAATCGTGCCGGGAAAGACGCGAGCATTCCAAGGATATAACGACCTCTACACGAAGATGTAAAGTTTGCGAAGAGAATCGAGTGCATAATGCGTCGGTACCGTGGGTCTACACGGGTCTCCACAGCAGCTAAGAGGCTCTCCTCACGCGACCGTGTTTACATAAGATGGGCCAGGCCCGTCGTTATTGCATACTCCCGCCACAGGTGGCTATTCTCCACATATATACCATTGCTTTTCTATACAGGTAGTATCATAATAGGTGAGCATAACTTCATTGATTAATTCAATATAAATTAATTGGAGAAAAAAGAAAGGGGTTTTTCTTGTAAAAATTATTTCATGCGACTGCATTGACAAATCATCAATTTATTCTTCAATAATTACAATTTCATTAATTAGAGGAATAATAATTTCCCACTACCGTAGGAAATAAACAAGAGTAAACAAGGAAATAATGAAAGCTTGTAAATTTCACGAAGCCATGAAATTGAAGTGGACGAAGGAAAATGAAACAACCGGATACTGATTATTCCCAGTGTAATAAACAGATCGTGGAGAAAGATAGTCAATTAAACGGAGAACAACGAATCGGTACATTCGGCGCGTGGATGACAGTCAATTTATTAATCGGATTATCGGGTTAATTTCCCTCGAGTAAACCCCGGTGAGAGTTGCTCGATAATGTCGATCCATCGAAGCCCGAATAGTTCCCCCTCCGTTGCTCTCTGAACTACCCTTTCAAGAAATTCTCGTCGCCTCTTGCTACGGGGATTCTTTTTGTTTTCCATTCTTCGAGAACGTGGGAAGAAACGGGACGAGGAAATCCGGATTTCCCGCATTTCTCCTGCTATTTCATCCAAGAAGATAGCTTTCCAGATCGCCCGATTCAAATGGGGATCAAAGATTGATTCACCAATGAGATCAATCTTAAAGGCATTCGATAATACATAAAATTTTTCTTTAGATTAAAATTTAATAACAAGGTGCAAAATTGCAAAATAATTGCAATGCGTTGGTTGGAAAAAATATTTAAAATATTCAACTTTGCATTCGAACGGAGGGAATTTTTCATAAAAATAAAAACACGGAATCACTTTTTTCCATCACGGTAAATCGCGTATTGCCTTTCGATCGATGAAACCAACCCCCATTGGCAGTCACGGCTCATTTAGCAGCCGAATTTTCCGAAAATTCCGTACGACCCATGAACCATCCATATTATTTGCTCGTTGATATATCGAATATTGAATAAAGCAATCACCATAACATCGCACGAAATCGCTTCGTTATTTTCCAAACCTGTCGCCGGAGAGTGATTGAACGATGTCATTGATAGCCTTCCGTGCTTCGTCAAGATGATGGAAAAATAATTTCCCATCGGTCCTACGCTCCTTCTTATATTTCCGAGAACGATAATTGCATCGGACAAAATCAATATATTGTATCCAAAAGAATATTGTCCTCCGTCTAACAGATTATTTCCATTTCATTATTTCTGAAGAAAATATTTTTATATTTATCATTTTTATTGTAAATTTATTTTCTCGTACAGGTCTGAGGGAAAAATCTTTCAATCCAATTCAAGACTCGTTCTAGAGCCGATGATATATTCTCGTCACGACTCTTTTGAATTCGGTTCGTCTTCTTACGCTTTCAACCCCTATAATCAAACTCTGCCTCGGAGAAATTCGAATTCATAATTCAGATCCTCTATTTTCTTTCGTGCCTCCGATTTTCCACCCCTATTTCTTTTTTCCTTCGATGCGTGTAAGTCAGCGAATTGTCATTCCTCGGTGTACATAGCTGATTGGACGTCGCTAAGTCACGTTCTCATTGAGATTCCTGGCTCGATGTAGAAACTGTCTGTCTTATATTTATTTAAATAATTTTCATTTTATATATTCTATAATTCTTCCTTTACGATCGTAAATCTTTGTAGAATTTAATTGTTTATTAGGAAAACATTTCGTTGAAGTTTATTTTGGAGGAAATCCTTGTTGTTGAAATCTGTTTCGGTTAGCTTTGTACGCGGCGAAGGTTAGCGTTCGAAGGAAACCAAATTTGGGACCGGATGTTGTTGGTACACAGCAGTTTGTCGAAACGGAGGGTGCTGTGATCTTACGAGGTTGAAGAAGGACGTAGGCAGAGGAGTTAACCATCAAACGACCCACGTGCTACCTGCTGCGAGCAAAAACAAGTGGGCGATTTCAGTATGCAAATTTCCTTGCCAGATTTATCCTGCCTACCTTCCTAAACGTATCGTCAAGACGCCTGACGAGTTACTTATTATTTTTCTCATCGATTCCGTGTAAACGTTAATTCGTTATTAATTGATTTACTAATTATTAGAAATAGCCCGACACTGGTCTCGGGTTTCTATTTGTCACATTCTAATTAATTATTATATTTTTAATTTGGTGCTACCTAATAGCAGCGTATGTTAACGCGTTCAACTCGTTAATGAAGCATAACTTTTACAACGTGTAAAAAGCGTTAGATAATCGAGGGGACGACGAGGAAGAAACCTAGCAAGGTCAACTTGACCCTCCCTGGTAATCGGCTTAAAGCGCCTTAACAATTTCACGTAGATATACGGATATAAATACGTGCATACTTTTATAAAACTGGCCTGCTAAGTTGGATTTATGAACGTCTTTTACAGACGGCATCTACGACCCTTTTCCTTCTTTTGCTTTTACCTCAGGTTTTAAAGAGCGCAACATTTGTTGCACCTTCAACCATTACGATTAAATCCCTCGAGTTTACGATGTAACATTCTACCGTTTGGACGGTTAATTTTTTAATTCTTCGGTTAAAAAGAGGAAAAAGGAGGAAGAGTTTAAAATTCTCCTAGTGTTTCTATTATTTGTCTACCAACCGTAGATTTCTTGTTACGCGATGTTCGATGCATACGCGATGCAAATCGTCTTCGTGCACATATTATTATCAGAGGGGTCACGGCGAGCAATCGGACGAACCAGCGTGCTCAGAAAGCACAACGGAACACCGTAACTCACGTTTACGCCTGTAAAATGAGCAGACATACCGTCGTGTCACTTATTGCTAACTAATATAAACTTAACTCCGCGACACCCACGAGGATTATAAAGAAAGCGCTATGAACCGCTCGTAAATCATAGCTCGCTTTACATTTTACTCGTGTTACGCCTTGTTACAACAGCCGATGTGTTGAACACGCACGGCTAACCTCGATAATTGAGAGGATCGACGGAGAAAAAACACGAATTTTCCTTCGCAGCATCGAAACGTTTCGCAAGTCGGCGTTCGAAAAGAGCGTAGAGTTGAAATGCAAAGCGGTAACCCGATTCTATAATAATTTATTGAAAATTTACCAGTAGAAAAATATGGTTTTCCGATATTAAATTCTTGCGACGCGTCGATAAAAGGTAATTGCCGAGTATCAACGGATGAGCAACGAGCAGTGGTAAAATGGCAGGTTCAGAGAAAACTACAACGGCGTGCGGGTTTTATCGTGGAAATAGTAAAGTGGAAGGATAGAAGAAAAAAGAAACGGTAGGTTGAAAGAGGGAAATGGGAGAGCAGACGAGCAACAACCGGCACAGCTTTTTCGAGGGTCTCTCCTCCTAGATTTTCGCGGGGATGCGCTCAGCACCGAAGTGCAATCGTAATTAACCGCTTTTCAGTGTCTCTCTCGCATGAAAGATACGAGGTTTCATAAGTAAGTGGGCAAAAGGAATGTGTCAAGCTTGCTTTCCCAGGGAACGTTTCTCCCTCAATTTTTCGCCTCTTTCCCGAATCGTCCCTTAATTCCGGATGCGCTGAAAAGATAACGATGGAAAACCGTTCCAGTGTTATCCGTTTGACGGAAAGTTAATAATTTTATGTGTCCTTTGAAACAAAGTTCGATCGACTTATAAATAAATGATCGAAACGTAAGTTTAACAGAACTAGTACAATTGGGACATGTTTTAAGAACCGAATAATAATGTAGGAAATAACTCATAACGCCAATTAATTGTAGTTTCTTTTAACTAACCAGTCCTAACGTCGCATGTTGTGTGTTACAGCGTGTGACTGTCACCCAATTGGAGCTTCCGGGAAAACTTGTAACCAAAGTACCGGCCAATGTCCTTGTAAAGACGGTGTAACCGGTACAACTTGTAACAGATGTGCCAGAGGTTACCAACAAAGTAGATCTCACATTGCACCTTGTATCAGTAAGTAGACAAAATTCTTCAATCTTTCTTATATATTTTTTTTTTTTTTCACAATTTCTTAATAGGACCATCTTCGATGTGCGAAAAAACATTATCGATCTTTACTTTTGAAGCACGCGGTATCTCGTTAAATTGCTCGAAAGTTCCATTAACAGTTGGAATGGAAAAAGAAACGGGACGAAATATATATCGTGCCTTAACCGTCTTGTTTTTAAAAGCGATCGATCGATCAATCGAGGGGAACACGCGATCTGGTCCGGGCTGATCGTGTTATCGCTTGATCGCGCGTCCAATTAGGCGAAATTTGCAAATATGAGAGGGTGAACCGTTGTAGCCTTTTAGAAGAGAGATATACGAGCCGTATTTATCGTAACTTCACAGCCGTTTGTTTTCACTGCTTACAGAAATACCAAGGGTTGTACAGACGCAAGGCACGGCCGGCGAGGAGAGCGGTGAACACGAAGACGACGACAACCCGCGTGGTTACGATGGACGAGCCGGTAAGTAAATGTCAAGTAAAACAAAATGACACGTCTTAGCGAGGCTGCATGTCGGCCTGTCGGTACTTAACGCGCCATAGGAAACGACACCACCGCTGAGGATCGTGAGCTTAAGGGAGTAGAGTGCCAAACATGCTAGGGTTCCCCAGGGAATATGGTTCGCGTGGGGGAAAGATAGTGAAACTTAAAAATTGGAATTTTGTGACATTGTATTATTATTAGGTTTATAATAATTGATATTATAATTAATTTTTCAAGGTATGTGCGGCTAAAGCTTAAGAATTTGAATTTTGTCATTGCATTATTATTATGTTTACTATAATTAATTTTGCACGATAATCAAAGTATGCGAAAAATGACGGAACGTTTCTGATAACGGGAAAGGAATCCCGCTTATTTATTGCCGGAAACAGAAATGCTTGGCAACACGTGTGGGAAAATCCAGCGAAGGTAGGAAGTTCATTCGGATACAAGCTCCCTTGCCACGTGGCAATATGGAATGTAAGCACAATATTAATTCGGCAGACGAAGAGGGAAAAGGAGGAAAGGGAGGGAATAGAGGGTTGGAATGTCTAGCCGGTTGGTCGCAGCCTCTCAGCCACCCCTAATGGCTTAATTAAAACTACCCTCACTTGCAGCTTGCCCATTTGCCTCGCAGTTTCCAACGGCCTACTTGTACCACCGTACGAGCATAAAGTTGACGGTTTTTATTTACACGTGTGTACATAGTAATAAATCGTCCCATCAGATCACTTTGGATCATCGTTTACGTCGAACGTTTCATATATTTTCTTGAATCTATAATAATCATCCATAATAGCTTAGGGTAATTTTCCTGTAAAAGATTTTCATTTCCCTCAAAATGAAAGATTAATTCCTAGTAACCCTTCTTCAATTAAGTTATTCGTAACGTTAACAAGTGTAAACTACGAGCATCGTTATCAAAAGGAACACGTTCGAACGTAACGACGATAAATAACTAAGACATTACTCTGTTCATAGACATGTTCAATAGTTAGATCAAGTATCATATCATTGCCGGGAGGTTTCAGTTACTTCTACTATTACATCTAACTATCTGGATGCAATAATTCGCAGATAAGACGAGCTTAGCTTTATAAGACCAGATACAGTCATTGTTGTTGATAAATGAAGAACTTCCTTTGAACAAGACCCACCTTCCCGTGCGTGGATGCATTCACAATCATCCGTATAATTTATCATTTTTGTAGACGTAATGTTAATAATTATTTTTATATGCAGTAATGCGATAGGCGATATGGAAACGACTCTGATTCGATAGTCAGAAAAGTAGCGGAGAACTTGACGACGGTTTTAAGTACTTGTGGTGAAGCATTCATTGTCGAGGGGTGGGTCAAAATATATTTCGGAATGGGTCCACGTGTACGAGTGTAAGTACACGTCAAGGCGGCGAAAGTAAACGTCAATCCATTAAATGGACTACGTACGAATGTATATCCGCGGGTAAATCGTAATAACTTGGGAACAACCCTTCTTCGTGGTGGAGCGGGAAGAGAAGAGGGAGGATAAAGAGCCGAAAAGAGGGTTAGGAAAGAGAAAGGGAAAGTAAAGGGAAATAAACAGCCTGCGGAATAAAAAGGATAGGTGGAACATTAAAATTGAAAAGAGAGAGTATTCTTAACTTACATTTACATTATTAAAAAATTAATAAAAATGAGTTTTTAAAAGCAAGGAATTACTAATCCGAAGGGCCGGGGTTCAAATACCATTCAGGGTTTCCTCATTTTTTCACAAATTCCCTAACTTAATATTATCCTAGTAAATTTCTAGGGTTCATATATTAATTTGTCGTCGACCAAAACAGTGTTTGAATGCAGTTCGTAGGATTTCCGGAATCGCCGCGTGTTCCTATATGCAATCGACAACGGCGCAGTGCGTGGGTGCGTGCAACGAAAATTACGCGCACGGTTGCGTGCAACATTAACATATAGATGCGATTCGTGACGCGGAGATGCATACCCTCGATGTATGCACGCCTGCATACTGCTCTTATTCCTTGCAAGAATAGCATTCCCGAGGTGGTGGGACGCGAGTATCCCTCCAGCTACTAGTTTGCAACGCTTATGAACAATGTCTTCGCGATGCTAAAAAGAGGATGCCCAATGGCTATCCTACCACCCTCTCGTATAACTGAATGTAATAACATGTTAGTACACTGTATCGAGGCAGCTTTGTCGATGAGTTACGATTACTGCTTGTGAATTTCAAAGAAACTAAATTCTACTGAATTCGAAGTCGAGAAACTAAAGTACAGATACGATCATGTGTTTTAATAAACATTCAAACGATTCGATTTTTAGTTCGACGTTTTATGTAATTGAATTTCAAGAGACGATCAATTTAAGTCTCGTTTGATTTCTGTGGAAAGGTGGTTGTATCATAACATACACTTTATTATAAAATTCCTTTGAAAGAATTTATTTCATTTTAAATACATTTGTTGAAACATTATCGTTCATATAGATTTGGTGATATTTAGTATCTTTGTTGCAAGTTGTCGCGTATTCCTGAATTTAGGAGGTAGTCTATTGTAGGGTTCTGACGTACTATACTAATGTGCTGTTAACTTACGCACATGAGCCAAGTGCTATATGCGCTCGTGTCCATTTCTCCTTTACCAGTGCAATTACAAGCTACAAAAAGCTTATGAGTGATGACGTCGACCAACATAAAATTACTCACATACGTAAGATGAAATCTGAGATGAGGAAAATACTTGAACACAACGATATACATATAATGTACGCTTTAGATTATCATTCTTGTTGTAACAGAATACAGATAATTCCAGGATAAATCTTTTAACTAATTTAATGGTATTAGGTAGAATTTCAGAGATAATTAATTTTTCGATGCAATCTTAAAAATTAAATAAAAAGAATAATATTAGATATGTTGTAAATACACTCGCGATTGAATCAGTGCATCTATGCGCATCTCGTCTCTAATATTTGTTAGAAGTAACAATGGTCGGAAGTGTTCGATCGAAAGAATAGAGACAATAGATGTGTAAACGGGTTAAAGAAGTATTAGTATGAAAGGAGCAGAAATAAACGTGTTGTCTGGTTTACAAGGCGAGTTAATCTGCAGTTCGCTTACTGTACCGACGCGTGAACTTATTGCTTGTGCGTATGCGCTCGAATAAACGCCCACTAAGGTGGGTCCTTCCATTTCAGGAAACATACCCCTGGTACTGTTTGCACACCACATCGATTCGTTCTCTTTCCCCTTTTCTTCCTTTTCCACAATCACGGATGCAGTTTAAAACAGCTTCCTTTCTTTGACTTAAACGAACAAATCACATTAGTATTATATTTATATTATGTTAAAACGTTTTCAGAGATTATACAAATAATGTAAGAAATTTTTTATTTAAACAAAAATAATGCGATTTTACTTGGGTAAAATTATAATTTATTCAGATTTTTGCATAAATTCATTGATTTAGATTTAATGGATTATTTATCATTTTTTTTTTTGCCACTGTAATATTGTGCTTACTTTCAAGTGTATCGCTTAGGTCTGTTTTAGTAAGGGTTTTTGTAGCTTAGGGACGCTTCCGCGTACAAAGAAGAATCTTTCGAAGGAAATGACCTTTCGCTTCGTCGGTAGGACGTATTTGCGATGAGCAATCGATCTGTTTTTCGTAGACTGTTAAAGCTGAACGTACATTTCACCCAAGGGGACGTTTGACAGCATGATAAACTTGTCATCTTATATTAGATTGGCAACTAAATTAGCGACTTCCATAGAATTATTTATTAAAAATTTAGCCTTAGGGGATTTTCTCAAAGACGAGGAGGCTGCTTTTGAAGTCACAAGCCGACCTATATGGTCCTGGTTATATTTTTCAGTTATGTACTAAATTTTATTGTCATCAAAATTAAGATTTTAAAATCATCGGAGAAAGTCCCCTTAACGAAGTCTTCAAATAAGACGTTTAAAGTTTCGGACAAAGAGTCATTATCTTGATTTACGTAATTTACAGTTACAGATTTGGAAGGTATTTAAGAGACACCCGGTATATGTTGCCTTCTATAGTAATAATTATCTTCATTATTACAGGACAGGCTTACCGGCCGAGTCCTAAACCAAAGTTAATTACCAGCCGCCGTAGCTAATTTAAATCAAGACTAATTAACCCTCTCCCTCGTTCCTTGTGATCCTACTTGCGTTACTCCAAGTCTCGCCTTAATATCACGCAACTTTCCCTAAACTTGCCTCGTTTCATTCACCTGACGTCGCGAATCCATGGATGAATTATTAACGCGTCTAGGAATAATTGATATTAATCTTTGCGCGTCGAAATACGTACGAGATGAAAATGACCCGTTGTTCAGCGTGCGAAACGTAAATTTCACGAAATCTTAAAATTTAGCAGAAAAACGTTTTAGCCCTAGGATGGAAATCTTTCGGCATGGAATCGTTTCATGTTTTTCCTAGATATTCTTGGCTGTTTTAGCACGAACATACAAGATATACAGCAAGGTACGCTAGCGGTCGTAAAGTAACGTCTTAATTATAAAAGGGTCTCGGTGGTACGGTGCATGTCTTACGAGGCACCCTAAGTATCCTACAGCGGCCGAGTGGGACTTTAATGGACGCGTGGGTGTTTGCCAGCCATGACAACGCACAGAATCTACGGTTTTTCCTGCGACTGCCCTTTGAGACGACCCCACCCTAACCAAGGGTAAACGGTGCTCTTAATGCGAGCTACTTTCGCCACGAAATTAAATGACTACCATCGTGGTTGTCTACCGTTTAAATGAAATTTACGTAGATATTAATACTTGTCATCGTTCTTGCCTCGATAAAGTGTGCCGATAGATTGAACAAGTTCCAGTTTCTATGAAAATGCTAGTTTAATGATGTTCGAACGGTAGGAGGAGGTTGTGCAAAAATAAATATAACTGTTTTACTTCTTCCCATCCTCCCTTACTGTAAAATTTACTGTTTATCTTTTAACAAAGGAAGACGGAAACAAAAACAAAGTTAATCAGGATTCTAGGGGTGAGAGAAAAATTTCGCAGGCAGTTGGTGAAGCATACCAGTCGAGCCAATTAATTGAATTACCAAATGGGAAATACGAGTCGAAAGGGAACCAGATACATGCCGGTTAGCTGCCACGAATCGATCGTGATGGCAGAGACCTCAGACCATAATCCGTTTAATTCCCGACTAACGAGACGTCCTTTGTGTCGATTAACCCGTGCCAATCCGCATCAATCGAACGGCCATATAACTTTGCCATCGAACGTATCCAAACCGTAAGGTTCGCTAGCTTTCCGATCGACTGATCCCAATCGATTCGATGGATTCGACGAGGAACTGGTTTCTGGTGTTGCTCACCACTTCGTAACGAGTCCATCGCAATCACCCAACAAACCACCTAAATCCAATGTTATGGGTCAAAAGTCAATTGTGACCGCAATTGGTCCTCCACTTTCCATCGATTTCCATTTAAAGAGTTCGCACCAACAACGACACGGTTTGCCCAAATTACAATACTACCAATCCAATTTTGCAAATTTCTTATTTTTCGTATTGACAATACCTAGAGAATTGCAATATGAAAAAGAAATCAACATTCGTACAGAGGTTCTCTAATCGAATATTCTTCTTCTTTCTTTTTTTTTTTTTTTTTTTTTGCCCAACTGATTCGACATTTTTCGAATTTCGACAGACGTCTGATGATAGACGAACGTGCGCCGTAGTCTGGTACGAGCATGGAATTTTCATTATTTTTATTGGATAACGCACCAGCTACGGGGAGAATCGATTGAATTTCAAACGAAATTCAAATTACGTACAATTTGGTTAGCCATCAGGACAGGCAAAAGCGAAGTACATAGTGCGAAGCGTGTGTGTATACGTGTATACAGGATGTCCCAAGCAATTGGGCCAGCTGTAGCTCTAAAATGGTAAAAGATTTCAAGATCCATTTCACTTTTCTTTTTAAATGAAATTATATATTTTTCCCCTGTAAAAGAATATCAAAATACTTGAGTTGATAATTGAGTAGTTCAAAAGATATTTTATGGAGGGCTTAATCTCTCCCTGAAATAATTAATTTTCAACCTAAGTACTTTAACACCTTTTAATAAATTTGTTAATAATTGAAAATTAAAATTTAATCGATCTTGAAATCTTTGATACTCCTTCGCTTCTGGAGCTGATATATCCATCACGATATTCTCCATTCGATACTATTTAATTTCACTATTTAATGACATTTTTATCCATCTTTTACCCTTTTCTATCTGGGCCCAATTGTATGGTACACCCTGTATTCCGGTTGCGTGCAGTTTGGATTCGTAGTTCGGGGGATTCAGTGTGTTGTACGGATTCTATTATCGACTTGTAGCTACGGTTCATTAAAACGGCATAACATTTGCAAACAACAGTCTTTACATTCCTGCCAATCCTTTCTCCAAACATTCCACCCCTGTTTTTCGGACTTTCATTCGTTAATCTCTTTTGTAACGTTCTTCTTTTTCGAATGGTTCGCAGTGCTCTGAAATTTTTCAACGGGGAGTTTTGTACCTCTGTTTGATGGCACTTGAAATAACTGCTTTTTGTTACAAACAGATTGTAAAATAAATTTTCCAAACTTTATAACTTTACATTTTGTGACTTTCGGTCTCAAAAACATTATATTTGGAATTACAGCAAAAAGCTATACTTAAATTGTAAACCTAGCATAAACTAATTACAATATTGTTTCATATCAGGTGTCAATTCGTACGTGTAACTATTTCAATGATTTAAGAATAAAATATGTCGTTCGTTTAACTTTATCATACTTAATAATATATTCCATGCAATTAGAAGAATTCTTTGTTCGATTCGAGTGGGCCAAGTGGATGACTGGCCTTTAGCCTCGTTTCTTTTCTAACACTTAATACTGTCCATTATCAGTGACAGCTGTGGGTGCATCTATCCATTTATTATCTAGCCCAACGGTGTCCATCTATTATCTGAAACGGCATGGTCAGCGTATAACGTGTCCTCGTCTCGAAGTCGTGCAATTAATTTTCTCCGGAATACGTTACAGTCCAGTGGTTCTTAACCTGGGCGTAACTAATAATCTCCATGAAGGGTAACAGTAATATATTTCATAGAACAACATGCCAATTTGATGGAACGTTACTTTAAAAACGAGTGACAATAAGGAAGGATAAATAATTCAATTTGTTTTGCTTAATAAATATTACTCAATTTTAATGAAATTTCAATCTCATCAGATGAAAATTTTATCGAGGATATTTTAGAACCCCACTTGGGCAATATAGCGAGAGTCTACTGTATTTGAAAGAAGATTATATTTTTTAAGTTATTCATCTGTTAAAAATAATTTTCCATCTGTTCAACGTTATAAAGAGGATATTCGCTTTTATTATCTTGGTATATTGTTAAATTGGCTGAGAGTGTAAGATCGTAACGCCAGGCGTGAAATAATCGCTCTTGTCACGACAGTGTTTTCTTTGGCTAGATTTATACGGCCAAGAAAAAATTTCATATATTTCCACGAAGACGTAGCAATTTTTTAATCATTGCAGAAACTACTATGTAACGTAGATGTTACATATTTCTGGACCTCAGAGCCAAAATATATTAAGTCATATTTTTCAAATTTTAGAGCAGAGCAAATCAAAATGCATAATTTTTTTAAAGCAGATAAAGAATATATCATTTTATTGTTTGAAAATGAAATCGTATACTGGACGGATGAAATTAAATATAAAATCCAAACATTACAGCAAATAATGTGGTTAATAACTCGAGGCATTTAAACTTCCCACGCTGTATGGTAGTGGAGTAGAAAATCAAAATGATCCCGTAGCTCCCCTACCTTTTAATTTATTAGACGAGAAGAAACCGGGTCAAAAGAACTTGGATTAGTGTTCATAGCTGTAAGGAAGCTAAACTACTTTTAAGTTTGATTAATTTCATCGTATCACCTTTTAAAGATGATAAAACGTCATGAGTGTGTCATCTTAAATTATAAAATGAATAACTTAATGATTTAAATGTTGAACTAATTTTTATTTATTTCTGTCTGTTACAGATCAATGCGGAAAATGTCGAGCCAGCACTAAAAGATTAAACTTAAACAAATACTGCAAAAGAGACTATGGTAAGTTCAAAAAATACTAACAAATTGTAAAAAAGAAAGAAAAATTCTTGTCTAATAATACATTTTTTGAAAAGAAATTAAAACTATTTTTCTATCTTTTTGTGATTTTTCTTAGCTATCCTCGGTAGAATAACAGACAGACACAAAAAGAACGACGGTTCACCGGCTGGGACAAGCGTTTCCGGTTCCGTTTGGATACGTTTCACCTTAGATGTTAACGTCATCTACAAAAAGTCTCCAAACTCGAGGATTCGTCGTGGTGACGTATTTCTTTACGTACACTCGGCTGATTTAGCCTGTAGATGCCCGAAAATCAAGCCAAATAAGTAAGTCATATAACGCATTATTTATAATAAACAAAATCATAATTTTAATATAAGTATCATTAATAAGTACGCGCGGAAAAATGCTGCATGCGCGGTAACACTTTGCGTCGGAACGCGTCTGCGCATGCGCACGGTAAGATGCGTCTGTACATGCGCGCAGTAAAACTTTGCATCAGTGCGTATCTGACATGTGCGCAGTACGAAAGGAGCATGGATGTAGAATGTAGATACAAGGTTAGCTCCAATTTTTATTTATTTCTCAGTCTTGTAATATCACAATATAATATCGTTTATATAACATAAACTGCGCGATACCACTAGTCATTGAAATGATAAAATATTTATTATGCAGGAGAAAACTTTAAGTCCGTGCACGTCTGCGCATGCGCGCAGCTTAATAGAAAACATTTCTAAAAGCTGTCCTGTCGTTTTCATTAATTATTTAGTTGAGTAGCATCGGTCATCACTGGCGAACATAATAAAGAAATTTTCGGATTTTCTGATTTTCAGGTCGTACTTGATACTTGGCCAGGAGAGCGATGGCGGAGGTCAAGGTGGACTGACAGTAACGCAGAGGTCAATTGTGATCGAGTGGCGCGACGAGTGGCATCGCCGAATGCGACGCTTTCAACGAAGGGCGATATCGTGCCATTGAACTAATTATTCCCGCCTGACCAAGGAAATATAGACGGAGAAAGAAGGGAAGATAGAGAGACAGGAAAGGGAGAGGACAAGTAAAAAGAGCGATAGGTAAAAATAGAAGTTGAAAACCTTTTAAAACTTGTACTCTCGTAGAAAGGTTGCACGTTCATTTTCAAGCTGCCAATAGCTGCTGTATATCTACTCGCATACCTACTTCTAGGTTTCTTTTTCGCACGGAGTACTCGACGACGTCCTAAGATTAACGATAAGTAATAAAGTAAACGTCATTGCCAAGTGAAATGCAAGTGAGAACTCGAAGTGTTTATAGAAGAGAAATATCAGGCGAACTGAATTCTTGTTATATACAAATAACACTTAATTTATTGCAACTGACATACATGCTTTGAATAATAATTGACTATCTGTATACCATCTACCTATATAGAAGAAGATCGGTTTGTTAATTAAGCAGATCTGTGAAAGAGCGATGAAATCATTTATATTAACAAAATTCGATCTGCTAATTTTATTTCCAATATAAGTATGTGCCAAATTTTTCAAAATAATTATTTTATATATATGTATAAATTAACAAAAAAATATTCAAGTCCTATCTAATTCTCCTATACAAAGGTATGCACACTACCTTGACTCTCGAAAATAAATTTTTACATGTTTCAAACTTAAAAAAAAAACTGTATACATCAAACATACGGACTTCCCACGTGCATTTCATTAAATCAAAAAAAAAGAAAAAATGCAATATCTTGTATTAAAATTAGATTTAGAATTTATATCAATATATACATTTCCTATGGATTTATAAACTATACTTCTTTTTTATTGATCGTATATAAGAGAATGCAGAAGGAAAAGAAATTGCGTTTTATATATATATCTGCAATAATTATCGAATTGATTTTATATACGTGTTCAAGGTGTGTTGCGACTGAAACGGCAGCATTGTACTCCATTTCTGGAAAAAAAGATTTCACAATTTTTTGTCCCTTTTGCTCAAAAGAATATAAGGAAACAAATATATAAGAATATATTCCATTATATGTATTAATACGAATCGAATGTGCAGTATTGGATAGCGAATTAGAATTAGTTGTATCGCATATCAGTTGTAACTAACGTTTCGTACAAATATTGTAATTTTCATTGTTTCGTTACAAGCTGGTATGTTGCAAATTTCTATGAACGTACAATTCGAAAAGAATTATTTTCTAAATATTTCTAAATGGTTATATTACTTTGAATACTTGAATCGTCAAATTTTTTAAATTTTATCAAAGATTGAATTGGTTCTCGGTATTAACAGTGTTATATGTACATACCGATTCTTTTACCGAAAATTTTTCATTTTTATTTTTATTTTAAGTTGAACGAATTGTTCCTGAAAATTTGCAATATTCCATCTCTCTTATTACAATTTGATGTTTTACAATGTTTGTAAATGTCTTTTCCCAGCCCCCAAAAACTTCCCATCTTTCTTCTTTTCTTCCCCTGCCCCCTCCCCCCATTTTTTTATTTATTTATTCTCCTCTCATTCGATCATCGTGAATCGAACCACATTTATAAAGATATACGCGTACGTTGAATGTAGATTTTCTTGTACATTTTCTATATAAATTATTAAGATTCATTTTTTCTAGTTGATATTATTACTAGTAGTATTATTATGGATAGTAGTAGCGATAGTCGATAGCAGTAGCGATTATGAAAAAAATATAGAGGCTAAGCTCGAAATGTGTCGAAATATTACGGATATGGAAAAGTTTTCATTGTTTCTTAAGCAATATTTTTTAATTTTTCTTGTATCATAAACCATCTCCCTCTTTTACTATATATCATTTCTCACCAATTAAAAGTGTAAATATGTCAATGAATACATTTTATTATACAGGAGTGTTCGGATACCCGAGATTACAAAGTCGGGTCGGGTACCCGATGCATCTGTCTATGCTTTATTACTTACATTGATCGATATTAATATAATAGGACAATATACGTTAAAAAATTTTCCAAAATACCTCATATTATTATTTATACACGAACTATGAAAACTTTTGCATATCTCTGATACTATTCATGAGAATCACCGGTTGAACTACTTAATACCAGGGAAATTATCGTAATTATCAGAGGTTCATTTAAAATTACGATGATTAATATTATCGACGGTCGCGAATATGTACGAAGGTATAAAATAACGTGTTATTTATTTAACTTGGACGGTATTTGTTGCGACCTTCCACGAAATTTCTTAGGAAAAATAATATACAAAAATGTTTCCTTTTACTATGACGTCGCGTGATAAAACGAATTGTTCTTCCGAAGGCTAAGGGTTGTTCTTTCTTTGTTTTTTACACGCCCTAAAATATGTACCTTGACAATAAAAAGAAACTGTCTCGATTATGAAAATTTTACCAACTGAACGAGAAAAATATTATTATCGTTAAACGAAACGACTTGCGATTAAATAAATGTCGTGCTTGAAATGTAAGTTCCTAACTGTGACGATTATTACCTTCGAACAGGTGATCACTAAAATCAATTTTAACCCATTTTCACCGTTGCTGTCTTTCTTTTTTCTTCTTATAATTTTAATCCGTTAAAATTGTATCAGTCGTATTAATTGACGAATTTTTCAATAATTTTCAATGCGTGTTTTAATGCTTAATTTTTGGAATTATCAACAAGTAGAACGAAGGTTCAATTTAGAAATTTCGTTTCGAAGATCGTAACTTGTAAAAGCGGTATCCACGGCTAAATACCGTTTTGCGTACCGCAATCAACAATGTATCTATGTACTTACGATATTAATGATTAATGAGTATCGAGCGCTTTGAACGCTCTATGCGATCGCAACAGACGACTTACTATCGTATATTACGAACAGAACTGGTATGAAATGACGTACTTCAATTCCTGACTTACGTGGCTCTTTTTCAACCTTCTTTCTTTGCACAATTTGTTTAAAAAAAAAAAAAGAATTAAACTAAACCTAATTACATTTTCGTAATAAAAATTTATTTTCTATGAATGTTATCTTTTCAGTAATAGAAAATTAATTTTCTTTTTATATACGTGTGTATATTTAATAAAAATATTAATTATGATTTGTAGAAAAAGTGGCCACGTAAATAAAGATCTGTATAATGGACAAAAACAGTCGATTCGAGGACTATTATATCATTAACATCGATGATGATTGAAATTTTTATAAAAGAATTATATCCCATAATTATTATTTATGATATCTCATCGTTCCCGAGATGTATCAGCTCCAAACATTCACTGTCTCCGTCGCCTACGCTATAATCACGTGTATAAAATGTATCAACGTAAAATAATGTTAACGTAAGTAAAGAATATATCAGGCTATTCGAAAAAATTAGTACGTATATTCAAATGTTAGAAAGATAAAATACAATACACGTATAGATAAAACAAAATTACACGATCGTTAACATAATATCATAACGATGGAAGAAATTTTTTTTTATTTCTTTCTAACATTTTCAAATGAAGTTATAACGCATCTTCCAATTTTATTTAAAATGACCTCTTTCGTAATCTGAAATACTTGTGCCATTTTTCATAAATAAAATTAGAGTTTAAATATCTAAGAAAATAATGGCCGGAAATAATGTTACTCTTTCTTACTTTCCAACGACTTTATTTAATATCTTGCAGAAAAATTTTATAAATAGAAAAATCGAAATGTTAATTTGCAATAGCTATTTATACAATTAGAGATAGACGAAATAGTATAAAGTAATTTTAAAATGGCACAAGCGTTTGGAATAACTTAATACTTGCCTTTTATTTTTACTAATCTATATGTTGAATAATATTCTTTTTATTAATAATTAAAAAGAACAGTACAGATAAAAGAACTGAATATGCAGTAAGAAAGTAAATTACAAAAATGCGATTGATCAAAACCGGCAAATTTTATTTGTTAATATTGCATACAGAATATCAAGTAGTTACTATATTATAAGAATGTAACGATTATTATTGTTCAGTATCTCCTTCGTGCGAGCGAAAAGCCGAAAACTTGTACTGTTTTAATTAAGAATTTATCGCGCCTACGGCATATTGTAGATCAAAGAATTACCAATTTTAGAGGTCTGAGATTTGAACCAAATTCTTGACCAGTTGTATATCGTAAATTATACACGATATCGAATTAAGTGTGCTATTTATACCTCCACATTATTAACCGATTACTGTTGTACCACAATTACGATTTAGATTCGATTAAATTATTAAGCGTACCGTATTGTTGTGTATTGTGGTGTAATAAATGTGATTAGTTGTATGAATAATAAATACAATGCATAAGAAAGATACATACAACAATTTTGATCTCGTTTTTGTATAACATATTTAGGATAGGTATAAATTAATAGACAGACAATTATTAAATTTATCTTATTTATTTAATACTTTATTTACACACATAGTACATATTTAATCACTTACTGTTCTTTAATGCTATCTTACAGCTTCTTATTGTTCTACTATGTACACACTTTGTGAACTTAGTACGAATAATATATTTTTAAGGATTACTTAAATTTACATTTATTATCAAAGGATTCATAAAAAATTCAACCATTATTGTTATTAAACATATCATGCTGTATCATTTATTATTTCATCATTAATATGATGAATTGAAAATTAAACAAAAAAATTTTTAGTATTTGAATTTGTAACTAACGATAAATGTTATCTTTTTATAACATGTACTCAAACTAAAATATTTATATTATCATTTTTTTTTTTTCAAACAAATTATAATTGAACTTCAATAAAATAAATTATATTCGTCATCACACTGTATAAAATATATATAAGTATATACCATATATGTGAAATTATAAAAATTTTGAATGTTTTACTTTTATATCGCAAGTATAACAGACCTGACTGTTGACCTAAAGGTATCTGGATAAAGAAATTTACCTTTGGTCCGGAATTGTATTTAGGTCCACCTTACCCTCTTAATTTAAAACTTGTTGAATTGTTGTATGTACATCAATGTTCGTGTCGTTATTTCTGATAATTTCTTTAGTACAAAGCGTTTAAATTCCTGAAAAACACGATCGTCGCAATTCTGATTAATTACAATTACCGAAACTTTTGCGTGATCTTTCTTTTCAATTACAGATATAAAATCTAAGTGTACTTTGTCAAGTGGTTTGTGTTTATTACTATCTTCAATTGCTTGCTCCGATATAAGGGCTTCTTTTTGCAAGCAACTTAAACTTGGATTTAACACAACACTGTTAATTTTTCTGTTACGCCAAACACAATGAGATCCAACACAGTGAAATTTAATTGTTTGATACTTTTCTGTATGTACATCTGACAAAATATCAACTTTCTGTTGCTTCGCTTCCACGTCATCCGTAAGAAGTTCAACCTGCACCTTAAAAACTTTTTCAAAAATATCTTTTATCACGTTACAAACAATAGGGTACCAACTACCCTCTGTCAATTTTGTCGTTTCATCTGTACATGTATCTATACTCTTTGATTTGATATGCTGCAAATGATTCAGAGGAATTGAAATTTTAAATTTATTCTCAGGAGAATTCTTATTTAAAGTTGTAGTAAGCAAAGTTTTCATTAGATCCCTGTAATCATTTTTACTAGTCGCCGTGCAAATTTCAGCACCGACTGCGCAGTACTTTACAAAAATGCTCAGTGTTGGAAAATGTATGCCCATTGTAACATTATGACTTAGTTCTATAGGATCTTGGACACACATTGGTCTGTTAGTAGTAAACTTAAGATTTTCATTCTCTTTTACACACGCTTTATACCTATCCATACAGGACGGTAAATTTTCTATATCTATAAATTCCGATTCTGTGTGTATCGTTCCGTCGATTGGGCATATCACCTTGGATTTAAAATCAAAAGTTGCATAGAAGAAAAAGAAGCCGTGCAGAAGTTCTGGAATACTATTCTCATTTAAAACTGGTGGTAGTGCTATATTTTCATCAAAATTCATTTGCCATCCATTTAGAATTTGTGGTTGACATGTTTTCTGAAGCTCCATTAAGGGAGGAATAATGTTAACCGACGGTTGTTGTAAATAAAAAATAATTAATAAAATCAAAGCGTAATTGGATATCTTTCCTGAGCATGATATTTTAAAATGTTTTGCCCAGTATTTAATGAGCATCATTAATGGTCTCAATCTGTCATCAAGAGAAATATAATACTTTATCAAATTACTTTTATATATACCCAAACTATTTTTAAACGATATATCACAAGAAACGTTTGTTCGAACGTAACAAAATTTTATAATAGGCGTCTTAGCTTTTGGAATCGCTATTATATCGGAGAAAGCACAGTTCATTCCGTACATAATTTTTTTCACTTCTTTAAAAATCTTTTGCATGGTCCACACATCCGGCGACGCACTTTCGCTTTCACATATCGGTTCACCTTAAATGACAATATTGTCATCAAATCGCTCAAAACATTGATAACGATATAAATAAATTAAAAATCTTACCAATGTCCATATATATATCTAAATCACATTCTTTAAAACCTAGCCCAGTTTGAGTCGAACCAAACTTGTATGTTTTACATTTTGGAAATATCACTTTGAATATTTTATCTAGATGCGTACAAACAGTTTCGTATCGTGTTTCTATTTCGAAATCGGTAAGTTGTACAGCGTTCAAAAACATTGTTAACTGATTATCAAACGTAGCTTCTCCCTCAAATAGGTGTTTTATATTATCATAATTTATTACACCATTGTTTTCATTGGGAGTATTTTGTTTCATTGGTTTAGGTTTCCCTAAATTGTAAAATAAAATAATTATGATTCACAGAAGTTGGCTGTAATTGCAATTCAATTAAATAAATACATGTTTTCATTTATAATACATACCCTTGAATGGTCTTCTCTTTTTTATCTTCAATTTAACATTATTTATCCAAATAGGTTTATTTAACAGAACTTCTGCTGAGCTTCTACAACATTAAAAAGTTACAATTAGACAAAATTATTGTTCATAAAGTAGGAAAAAAATAAAGGATGTTAGAGAAGAAAGTTGTAACCAGTTCTAAGCTCTGTTTAAGAGTTATAAAATTATAAAATAAAACAATTATTCGATTCTAATAAATGTGCTAAATAGATTGCATTACCTGTCACAAAATTCAATAATAAGATAACTCGGACCAAACTGATACCACTTAATAGTACCATATTGTTGAAAATAATCTATAAGTCCACGTGATGGAATAAATTTTGGTAATGGCGACACAACAATTGATCTTTCATTGATTTCAACTTGTTCAAATTTCTTCAAATGCTTTTTACCTGCAAGGTGACCTTGCAAGGCATACTCATCTTGAAAGTGCATTGAACATATATCGCAATGTTTTGACATTGTTCTTTATATATTAAATAATCTTTTCAAATTTATAAAAATTTATTTGCCCTCTTCCTTTTTTTGTTATTAAATATTTTCAAAATTCTATAAAAGAATATACAGGTATATTCTTTCATTAAATATCAAGCATTCCGCTTAATCATTAAAAGAAATAATACCATTGTATTTACAAAACTTTGTTTAATTCAATGTAAACAAAAGTGTTTATATACTACATAAAGAGGTCACTTCCTTCATAAAATAGTTCAGATTTTTTGTATAATGTAATTATTGTTATTTGTCTTTACTAAGTATTATTTGATATACAAAATGTAATACTGCTGACAAATTGAATTGATCTATTAATTGTCCATTAACACTTAAATTTTAAGTGTCACTATCACTTTATGATACTTTTTGCATATAATCCAAGGTGTATTTAGAAAAATATATTCAATACAATCGACCACTTTATTTAATACTTAAATTTTATTTCCAAATAAAATAATATAACTATTGTATTTTTACATTTGTAAACGATATAAACATATACAAACGATATACCGTATTTTTACAATTATTAATTATACCACAATCCACTCTAACCTAAGATTTGTCGATATGCAAAGAGACTCAACGGTGGTAGGGGTCCCAGACACCCCAGGACGAAATAAAGTCGGTATGCAAACAGCACCATCGGCGCAGCGGGGTCCCAGACACCCCATATGCAATCGGGTCGATATGTACAGAGCGCCAATAGTGCTTCGGGGTCCCAGACACCCCAGGATGTATTCATATCGATACGTATACAGCACCACCAGTGCTCGGGGGTACCTGATACACCAGCAGGATATCAGGTCGGTATCACCCCCTGTGGCTCGGGGGGCTTAGAATACGGCCACGGTATCCCCTGCCTGTCGTAAGAGGCGACTAAAAGGGGGATGTAAAGGAGCGAGTAAAATGTAAAGAAATAAACAAGTTAAATAGATATAACAATAATTTTATTAATAAACAATTGTAAAATATAAAAATTAATGGTAGTATTGTACTATTTCGCCATTTGTTTGGTTTTTATGTTTTATATTTCCCTATTTCCTATCAAATCCATCGCTATCCTGCATTCACTAATTCCCAATTGTATTTCGCTAGATCCGGTCAAACCCGTCACTAGTCCGAACAAGTGAGTTTCACGATTTGTTCGTTTTCCGTTCTTATATTTCTCTAGATCCGGTCAAACCCATCACTATTCCGAACAAGTGAGTTTCACGATTTGTTCGTTTTTCGTTCTTATATTTCGCTAGATCCGGTCAAACCCATCACTAGTCCGAACAAGTGAGTTTCACGATTTGTTCGTTTTTCGTTCTTATATTTCGCTACTTCCTTGGGGTCCCCGATACCCCGGATGCTACTGCCGGTATGCAGAATCACCGGAACTTTGGGGTCCTTAGAAACCCGAGACAGTATAATTTAGATATACAGAATCATTGGTGCTTGGGGTCTTTAGAACCCCGAGACAATATAATTTTGGTATACAAAATCGTCGGTACTCGCGGTTCTTAGAACCCCAAGACAGTATAATTTCGGTATACAGAATCGTCGGTACATGGGGTCTTTAGAACCCCCAGAGTATATAATTTAGGTATACCGAATCGTCGGTGCTCGGGGTCCTTAGAACCCCGAGACAATATTATTTAGATATGTTGAATCGTCGGTGCTTGGGGTCTTTAGAACCCCAAGGAAATATAATTTAGGTATACAAAATCGTCGGTGCTTGGGGTCTTCAGAACCCCGAAACAATATAATTTAGGTATACAAAATCGTCGGTACTCGGGGTTCTTAGAACCCCAAGACAGTATAACTTCGGTATACAGAATCGTCGGTGCATGGGGTCTTTAGAACCCCCAGAGTATATAATTTCGGTATACAGAATCGTCGGTGCGTGGGGTCCTTAGAACCCCGAGACAATATTATTTAGATATGTTGAATCATCGGTGCTTGGGGTCTTTAGAACCCCAAACGATTTAATTTTGGTAGGCAGAATTATAGTTGCTTCGGGGTCCTTAACACCCCAAGATGATATCTTGGTATTCAGACAAACTCGCCGCTGTTTCGGGGTCCCTGACACCCCGGATGCTGTAATGTCGGTATGTAAAGTATGTCACTGGTGCTTCGGGGTCCTTAACACCCCAGGATGAAATCAGGCTCGTACGTAGAGGGCACAACTAGCATAATATTCGTACTCGAATTTCTTTCCGGAGTTTATTTAATTTACCTCATTTATCTTGTCCCGGGTGTCGTAAAGACATCTGAAATTATTTCATTTTTTCCCTCTTTATAGGCCAAAACCCATCCCTTTTAATTATTAATTATTTTATCCTCCTTTATGGGCCAAGACCCATGCTCCCTAACTATTTCTTATCCTACTCCTCTCTATGGACCAAGGCCTCCCTTGGCAGATATTTATTTCTTCATTCTTTTTATGAGCTTATCCTTATAGCACTGCATCCCTCACATCACCGTCTTCCTTACATTTCCGTATCTTTTATATCCCTTAATTCTTTACATCCTTCCACTCTTTTTATCCCTGCATCCCTTACATCCCTTATGTCCCTGCAACCCTTATAGCACTGCATCCCTCACATCACTGTCTTCCTTACATCTGCGTATCTTTTACATCCCTTAATTCTTTACATCCCTCCACCCTTTAGATCTCTGCATCCCTTACATCCCTTATGTCCCTGCAACCCTTACAGCACTGCATCCCTCACATCACTCCCTTCCTTACATCTCCGTATCTTTTACATCCCTTAATTCTTTACATCCCTCCATCCTTTTCATCCCTGCATCCCTTACATCCCTTATGTCCCTGCAACCCTTATAATAAATATATTACAAAAGCTGGTTCGAGTAAAGGTAAGTAAAGGTAAGTAATTTTTTAACTTTTAATTTTTGAATTTTCAATTTTGCGCCCTCTAGCGGCAAAAATGTGAACTAAAATTTCGACCTCGCGTCAGCGCCATCTGGTTTTAGAAAAAGGAACTATATCATGCTGGAATTTTGGCCCTCTAGCAGCAAAAATGTGAACTAAAATTTCGACCTCGAGTCAGCGCCATCTGGTTTTAGAAAAAGGAACTAAATCATGCTGGAATTTTGGCCCTCTAGCGACAAAAATGTGAACTAAAATTTCGACCTCGAGTCAGCGCCATCTGGTTTTAGAAAAAGGAACTAAATCATGCTGGAATTTTGGCCCTCTAGCGGCAAAAATGTGAACTAAAATTTCGACCTCGAGTCAGCGCCATCTGGTTTTAGAAAAAGGAACTAAATCATGCTGGAATTTTGGCCCTCTAGCAGCAAAAATGTGAACTAAAATTTCGACCTCGGGTCAGCGCCATCTGGTTTTAGAAAAAGGAACTAAATTTCGCAAAAATTCAGCTGGATGTTGTGCTTTTCGGTGGAGGGATGCAAAGGACGTTGAGAAGTAAAGGATACAGGAATATAAGGGTTGCAGTGATGTAAGGGTTGCAGTGATGTAAGGGATGCAATGATGTAAGGGATGCAATGATGTAAGGGATGCAATGATGTAAGGGATGCAATGATATAAAGGATGCAGAAATGTAAGGGATGCAATGATATAAAGCATGCAGAAATGTAAGGGATGCAGGGGTGTAAAGGATGCAGAAATGTAAGGGATGCAATGATATAAAGCATGCAGAAATGTAAGGGATATAATTATGTAAAGGATGCAGAAATGTAAGGGATACAATGATATAAAGGATGCAGAAATGTAAGGGATGCAGGGATGTAATTAATGCAAAATCTATAACGTATAAAGCTATTTTATTTGGTTCAAATATATACATTGTTCGTGTGCTGTAAAGTATTCGGTAAGGTTTTGAGATATCTTGAAATGACCCAATACTTTGAAACGGTACTTAATGTTCATAGTTTACAGTAGGAACAATTTCCTAATAGTTCAGACATTCCAGTTTAATAAATGCAGTAGAGCTTATAAAGTATGGACTACCGATGATCCAGAATAACATTAGAAGCATATTTCTTGCTTTTTAGACAATATTCTACAACCGTGTAAATAGTAAGTAATCTCCTATCCATGGCACTTAAGTGGGCTTCTGTAACAAGGGGTTGAACATCGGCCATCATTGACTCGTGAGCAACGAGTTTTCCAAGAGCTATGCTTAAAGATCCACCACTGAACAGTTTCAAACGATCCCAAGTAGTTTTATGGATCCTAAAATAAAAATAAAATACTACTTTTTAACAATGAACTAGATATTAATATTTATATAAATACCTACATGCAACATTGATATAGTGGGGCTAAAATATCAAAATGATCGACATCAGGATTCCCAAGACTCTTTCCATTGTCAATTAATAAAACAGCAGGATTGTGGAAATTATTCTGCGCCAATTCGTAATGATGACGATCACCATTGTCCATTAAGAAATCAAAAATTGCTGTATCAATCAAATCTAAAAGTCTACTCGACGACTGAGGTGAATATGCCTTGGAGTCTTTCACCTGAAAAGAACAAATGCCTAGTACTATTTATTTTTCATATACAAAAAATAGAATGTACAATTTGAATATACTTTTTCGCAGTAATTATCATCTGTTTCCCATGTAGCAAGTTTGTTTCTTTTGTAAGTCCTTTGCCAGGGATGACGGTGTTTAACTAGCTTTAAATATCGCGGTAGCCAAGAAATTAAAGCACCCTCCAAAATGTCTCCCGTCCCGCAAACTGGATCTGCAGGGGAACAGTAATGACAAACCCCATATAGGCAAGTATCGTTACCATCTTGATACAAGGTTGCATAAAGTTCTGGAGTTGCTCGTGGTCGAATTTCATTTCTTAAATCAACTGCAAAAATATTTGATTTTATATTAAACATTATATACATTTATGCAGGATGATCTATGAAAATGTACACACGTTTTCTAATAACAGTAAGCGGTACTCTTCTTAAGGCCAGCAGGGAAGATAAATGGAATGCTACAACTTCGGCATTGTGCCGGTCTTTACCATGGTAAACCGGCCCTCGAATAATAGCGTCCCTAGAATACCACTGAGGCTTGAACATCGCCTTCGTCCCGTGTTCCAAAGTTAACATTAATTTCAGTTGCGTACCAAGTGGCGCGTTATCCGCTCGCATTACTCTTGATTTACGTAAAGTATCCAATATCGTTCCTAGCTCGGGTGCAACTGGTGGAATTAACTGATGAGCGTCAGGCCACTGAAAATATAATAAGAATAGATTTAGAATACTGTTCCGTATTATTTAAAAGCATTTAATACGGTACTAACATTATTATTAGGAATATTCCATATATTTTCACGAACATTAGGCATTATTCTCAATTCAGTTAACAAACGTTCCAATACTATCGTGTAACTAGTATTTTGTTTAAAGTATCTCGATGGTAATATTTGAATCTCTTCTCTAATTTTCTTTGCCATACTTTTGGCAACCGATTTTTGCAGAGCTTGTAAATTTTGTTCTGCTCGAGATATTAATTCTTCCTGTTCGGGTTTTAATTGTGAAGTAGGCATGCCTTTTGATGAGGTTTTGTGCGACGAGCTCTCTACGATCATTCGTATGAAATATACATTGACACTTAGGACAAGAATCAAAAGGCCGCCCAAAGCAACGAGAGCACAGCGTCGGCCAATCATCTGTAAAGAAAATTTAATGTAGATGGCGCGCAATTGTTTCACTTGTCAAATATTATAATACTAACGAAAACTATAGCCTTAAAAATTCATAGTCTGGCTATTTATATTCTTTATGAATTCATCATTTTGTTTTCAAACATATTATGAAATATTTAACACGCATATATACGTATATAAAGTTAGATTAATTTACATTGTTAATATTAAATAAATAACTAGTTTCTAAACAAATCTAATGCAATAGTTCTAAATGAATTAGAAGCTTAATTAATCTTGCACTAACATTCTATATACGCGTGCAGCAAATAGTAATAACATAGCAGTGTTATTGTGACAGAAACGTATGAGGAATCGAATCTAATAATGAAAAAGTCTTTTGTAAAATGAAAATGTCTATAGATATCACCTTTGAAAATTGGCCACGCGGTTGCTGTCACCTGATAATAAATATTTTTCTCATGTTTCGATGAAACCTCGGTTCAGTTGTGTCCAACTACCTTAGACAGGCAACAGTCGGACGCCATTTTTAACTTCGATCCAAAGCACTCGCGCGTCATAGTACAATGAATTTGAATCTGTAGTAAATGAGTGGTACCTAAAAATCAACTAAATTTTCAACAGAATTTAATTAATAAGGATTTTTATTTTGCGTTTATGGAATAAGGAATTATAAAACGCGATAATTATAATCATGAATTTATTTTATAAAAACATGTAAACTACATGGTGAATATAGTCGAATTAAATTTAGGCTATCACTCCAAATGGAGTAGGAGGTTCCTTTAAAACGCGGTGGTGGTGTTCGAATGGCTCGGTTCTATATCGTTTTTTATCTCTATAGTTACACTCGTACAAACATTTATGTCGATATATACATATCAGTACATGTTTTTTATTCTCTTCGTTGTCTCTCCCTTTCCCGAGCAAGTTCTGTAGCATAATCGTAAGGCGAACCTCTCCTACAATGAAGAAAAGCTCAGAATTTTTTAACAAATAATACATATCAAAGGAACACATTACCTATCTCGATGACGATCTTTATCACGGTAACGATCTCTACTTCTATCTCTATGCGACCTATCTCTGCTACGACTTCTATTATCTCTTTGTCTCCGACTTCGATCGCGGCTACTCGATCGTTTAAAATGGCGGTCTCTTTCCCGGTCCCTTTCCCGTGCTCGCTCTCGTTCTCTTTCTCTGATCCGGTCTCGTTCACGGTCCCGCTCCCTATACTTGTCCTTACGTTCCTCATCAGATCTGGAAAAAAACAGTATTCGAAGGGAAGTAACGCCGAATAATGGAATACCATTTAAAAAAATATGAATTTGTGCAAAATATATATGTACGATAATGTAAGATACCAAGAAATTATTGATACTATACACCTCGATATTGCACAACAATTTTTGTATTCCTTGATATCTAATGTATAGAAGAGATCAGTGTACAGTTATCATGAATATCGAGATGAGTTCGCTAATGCAAAAAAGTACAATAAAATTTTAAGTAGATAGTAGTAAAAATATAAATAGCATAAATGTATCTAAAAATAAGTTAATCGTCTGTAAAGCGAGCGAATAACTGTACAAGAATCAAATAAGAACATACACGTGTACTAAAGAAAACTGAACGATGATACATTGAGATCAAGGCTATTTTCCTGGAGATGGTACGTCTTTAATCTTCACCCCATTACCCTGACAAGTTCATAGAATATTATTAACCTTATAAAAAATAGTAACGTGATTGTATTCATACCACGTGGACGCACCTGGCTCGCCACTGGCTTGTTCTTTCGGCCTCACCCCACTGTGCTTCGCTATCTGGGATATGTCGTGGTTGGTTGCGGGATGTAAGGTTGCCGTTATCTTTTCTATTTCCACTGTTACTATATTTTCCGTGGCTATTTAACGTTATAGGTGGTTTCGCGTTTCTGGCGTTCATAGACTGCTGAGGAAACCTTTCCGCTAATCGATGCTCAAGTTCTTTTTGTATAGGCACTGGTATTCTTGGGAATAGTGTTGAGAACCACTCTAATTTAGTAAGAAACTGTTTCAGAATATCACCCATTTTCATTACTTGTCCTCCTCCAGCTTTTACATCTAACTCCTCTTCGTCTTCTAGATAATCGCTATACCAACTAAATAAATCAGCTGGTGGTTGTGTGTATCTATCAACGGTAATAACATATTTCTTTTAGAAACAATACTATTACATTGTTGTTATTATTCTTACCTAATATACATAAATCCTAGTGCTCGAATATACGGTGAATCGGGATGGTTGATAAGACCATTTAATTGTTTCCGTGTTAACCTCAAGGTGAAGAGTTTGTACAGCAGACAATACGCCGTCGAGACAATTCCTCCAGCGCCGACGCCTCTAACCTGCATGAACCGCTAAATTTACACCCCCCTATGTCAATTAATCACATACATATCATATTATAATATATTGACCGAGAACATGCTACTCTGCAATAAGTAAGTGTGATGTTAAGAGTCTGCTCAGTGCCTGATTCAGACTGGTTCGAGGCCAATATTTTGATATTGATGCCTGATTATACGTAACTAGTGGAAGTTTAATTATGCTTAAAACTTCCGCTTTGTACAATTTATTTTAAATGCTTTCACCTTTCCTAGTTTTATCAGTAGTTCTCATTTCACTGAGCGTCCAGGTCCATTAAAGTGCTATAAATTTGGAGTTCTTTCTTGCGTACGGTAACAATTCTGTGATTTCCTTAGTTTCAAGTCAATAAATAATAATTATGAATTAACAACGTTTTAGAAAACATACTCACGCCTCCACACATGCCAGTCTGCCCCGCCGTTTTCCTGCTTCCTTTCTCCCATGGTTCCAAATGGGAGACTTTATAGTAAATTTCATCAATGACCTCATGGTATGTCTTTAGTTCGTATAAATTGACTTTAAAATAGTGGGATGACTGTATATTTGTTAAAATTAATGGATTTAAGTTCATAGTCCTTTCATTTCCCCAAAGAGGTAATATGTTCGATTTTTTACCCTCCTTCTGGGCTGGTCGACGTTCTTCATCGCAACCACTGGAATTGTTCCATGGGGAGCCTAAATAACAATGTTTAATTTATTTTAAACCACTACGTAATAGCGATATACATAATATAAACTTCGATGCCTAATCGTATAGTTGAGGTTAAGTATATTCACAGATCATAATTCGCTGTACAATGGTTTATTCTTCCATTGAACATTGTAAGAATAAAAAGTAAAATACACGTGCTAAAGGTAATGTACTTTTACTTACCATCAGCTCCTTCCGCTTCTTGCATTTGCATATTTGTATCGCGAACTTGCAAGACTCACGATGAAGTTTAGCGCATCAAACGCACCATACAAATGTTATACTTTACCGAACATTTACAACGTTAACGAAGACAACAGAAAAAATAAATATAATCGTGTCTTCAAAATAATTGAATTACAAATTCTAAAATCTATCGTAACGCTTTTTTATGCAAGTACATAGAAAACTGACGTCAACGGAAAGCGAAAAAAGACACAATACGGTAATACGCATGCCTACAAAATGTATACATCCGGTTTCATTCATACGTATACTTTTATTGTCGTTTGTATTATATCTGTAAATAACTAAATTGTTGCAGATTCTTCAGTTTATAAATAGTCTAATGTAAAAAGAATAACTGAAGTGCTATTGTAATTTCAAAGTAATGAAATGTATAGGTATCAGTCAATAGATATTTTGGTAACTTAACACAAAATCTTACGAAATTGAACATTAGAAGTAATAAATCCACTGTTCTAAAGTTAAACACAATTATTACTCTGTCATATTAATTCACGATATAATTATAAATTTACATCTCTTCTTTTCTAAACCGAAACGTGTAATACAAACGACATCTTGACACTTTCAGAAATAATAATACGAACAGAAGCACAACACTCCTTAGAAACGCACACCTGGTGACACCTGGTGACACCTGTTATTACTATAACGCGCGCATATTTACAAATTTAAACATAAAATATTTATAGAATAAAAAATGCCATTTATACATTTATATTACTTATGAGCGATAATTTTAATGATTTCCTTTGGTTAGCTTGTAATATTTTTAATAAAAATTATAACATTGGTTATATTTTAAAATGCAAGTATCAGTGTGTATTAGTTTTCTCATAATCGTGACTCCAAACAGGTTTTCTTTTTTCAATGAAACTTCTAATTCCCTCTTGCGCATCTTTCATCTTTAAATTGTTAACCATCTTTTCAGCTCCCAAGAAATAAGCTGTTGCTAAATCAAGGTCCAACTGTTCATATAAAAATGTTTTTCCTACGTGTACAACTGAGCGACTTTTCGCATTTATAGCGGCAGTAATTTTTTCGATTTCTTGCTCTATAAATAAGACGCAACAAATTATAAATATGATGTTCAATAATTGTACTATTTGAATAACTTACCAAATTTTTCAATGGGCACTACTTTACTAACAAGACCTACTTCATATGCCTCTTTTCCATTAAGGCTTAAACCTGTAAATAGCATGTAAATGGCTGTTTTCTTAGATACATTTCGAACCAACGGAATACCTGGGGTAGAACAAAATATTCCGAAATTGGCTCTATAAAACAGAGAGTAGAATTTCATTATCTGATATATAAATCTATATCTTTTGCATTGAATATATTCATTTACCCTGGTGTAGCAAATGAACTCCTTTCAGTACAAATAGCAATATCACATGCAGTAACCAACTGACAGCCTGCTGCAACTGCTATTCCATCCACAGCAGCAATTACAGGAACTGGACTTTGAGTAATTGCTTTCATTAACTCAGAACATGTTTCAAATATATCCTTGTGATGCTTCCCATTGTTAGTAGTCTAAACCACGCAAGCCAATCATTTCTCTGCGATGAATGTAAATCCTTATATTAAAGAGGCTCCTGCCAATTTTATTTTTCAGTTTATTTACAAACCAATTCTTTCAAGTTATGCCCGGCAGAAAACATATTTGGTAGTTCAGATTTAAGAATTATGGATCGTAGATCCTTGCTATTTTCATCCTTTTTGATATTTAACAGCAGAGAATTCATCATTTTCAAGGATAAAGAATTCCGCGAAGAGGGATGATTTAATGATATTATCCTTATCTACGTGTAAAAATAAAAATTGAGAATATTAATAAACAGGAAAACTGCAAGAAATTATTTAAATAATTTTCTTACTCCATTATCTTCTTTGACTTGCACGTATTTTTCTTCCGAAGATAACACCTTGTTAGTGGAAAATGTCCGTATAACATATTTTCCCACCTGCAATATTCAAAAATGCAATATGTTAAATGAAAATTTTATATAAATAAAGTAAAATATAATAACAAATTTATTACGATTATAGGTTATATAACCTTCATTCATTATGGTACTTATGTATATCGATTATTTTAAGATGAACTACCTGTAGATTATTAAAGATGTTCTTTGTTATTAATCCTGACATCATGTATTATTTTTAATATTAATTTTTTCCAAATTATTATACTAATTAATTTCTCTTTACTTTTAAATTTTTGAGGTCCTAATCTATATGTGACATTGATGTGACCCGATTATCGGTAATGAAGATACTGAATGCATAACATTTAAATTCATATGCATCTGAACGCGAAAACGATGAAGATGCATGATGTGCAATTTTAAGACTTCTGTTTTAAAATAATTGTTTGTATCAATTCTCTAAAGGTGATTTAGAAACAAGATAAAATAATTTTTATAAAATTTAGAACCTCTGAACTCTGAACCCCGGCCACCGGTCGCGTGGGAGTATACCGGGTGGTCGGTGCCCCTGGACCCCGGCAACCGGTCGCATGGGAGCATACCGGGTGATCGGAGACCCCTGAACTCATGAACCCGGAGGAATATACTGTTCGGCCGGGAACCCATTGGGAAGGGGAGGGGTATCGCCATTTTCCCTGGGGAAGTATATCATACTCGGGACCGTATAGTAATAGATTTAAAAAGCTAAGAATATTGTATAAACCACCGAACTGTGTAACAGCCGGAGAATCTGTCATCGGTTACTATGGTGATCATTGTTTCCCCTAACAACTAACATGGCGGAGGTTGAGGGTAAGTTTGCATACGTCAAATTGTCTCAGCTGTTATTTACAAAAGCACGGTGGTTTGTCTGCCACAAATAACGCGTCGAGAGATCCTAGCGATTGCCGCGTGAGTTTTTCACGCGTTGCACTTCCGTCCGGTTCCAGTTTCGCGGCCGGGACTGTTTTCTAATAATATATACGAGAACCACGCGGACGCGAAGGTGTTCGAATGCTCGAGTGGAAAAGAGAGGAACTAGTGATGGGTGCAAGATAATATTTCCGATCTTCGATCGACCAGATCGATGTATTTCGAAAGAAAAACCGATTATGTGACAGAAGGTAAGGTTATATTATTTTCAATTGTGCTGATAGTCGAAATCGATGATCGATGAATTAATTAATCGACGCGCGCCCCTGCTAAACTGGTTACATTATTTTATATTTATTTTTACATATATCATTATCTGAATATTGAACTGCTATTAGAATCTATATTTATTCCTGTATACTCTCCCGGAGTATTGATCAAATTCATGAATTGTGTATACACCATGGACACGTTAGATCATTATAGTTAATCGTGATACACGTTGCGTGGGTTACCCGTGGCCACGATATTTACCGGAAGCGGAACTCCTGAGAAGTAAAATAAGCACGTGAGCTTGAACATAATCGATAGTTGCAAGAAAGTACTAGGCAGCAGTTGATTATTTTAAAAAATTCTCAAATTCAATAAATACGTTTTCTTTTTTCTTCGAACCTAGTAATGTTAATTCCAGAAAAATGAATTAATTAGAACGTTATTTTATTAAATACCAATTTCTGGTTTTTCGAAACGGCACTCTCGCTCCCATTACTAGAGAAGTAGCTTTCGCTCCTGATGCTCTCGCAGTGGCACCTAAAATAAACTCTCTTTATAAGAGGAGAACAAGATCGCGTGCACATTGCGTAGAAGAGCAGTCTGATGGCTATGGAACAGTTCAGTCGGTGTGTTTCCACTCTGTTGTTCGATGTTGTGCTGTGTTTCGAGAAAAGCTGTGGCAGGGGCGGATCTAGGACCACCCTACGATCATTGCCCCTTGAGAGAGCAACCTGTCGAATCGGAAATAGTAGTAGAGATCGAGCAATACACCGATCCAGGTGAGAGACTCGTATGTGGAAGTTGAACAAACACTTTGTAAATTAATATCTATGTTAATTATTCATAGAAATGGTAATAGAATATTTTTCCTAACAAATGCCCATTTTCACTATAATTAAAAATTATAAAAACCAACCGAACAGTAAAGTAGAAAAAACCTCTCCTAATATAGTAAAAGAAACAGATCCGAAATAATTAGAGAGTCTTGGTTAAATATACCGATGATATGTGTCGTTGAACAAATTTTTGCAAATTTGTTTTCCCCGTTAATTCACACGCTGCTATTTTCGTAAACGGTGACGGACATTTATAAGGTGACCATACCCATCGACGGAAAAGCGAGGACGGAAGGAATGGTCAAGAGGAGAGCAGACGCGTCTCTGCAACATCTAGATACAATACTCGAGCGGGTATAACTCGTAGCTCCAAAAAAGGAAGCTTGCTCGTCCGTAGGCGAGAGTCGCGGGGGCGACACCTCGTCTTCGTCCTCCTCCTCTTTCACGTTGTTTTTATTAGCAGAGCCACGCAGGTGGCCGCGATTCCCGTGCGTCGAACAACAGCTCGATCGCGGATCAATTAGATGGTCGTTAGTGGAACTGGATCGGTACCGTTCGTCTCGTTAACACTCGTGCATGCGTTAAATCAATCGACTGTTTCCGTCTGAAGATCAAAGTGTCGAATAAAGTATTATTTCCCGATGATAGTGAACGAATTATCGTCGCAGTGTCCCAAAATGGTGTGCTTTCGCTCTCGTTGCCCTAATAAGTCCCACTAATTACCGCGGTTTCATCTCTCGACGCGTTCGAGCGCGATTCCGAGCGAATCCCTATTAACAGACGCGGTCTGAGTCATAACTCTCGATGGCTACTGCGATCGGTCCTCAGAAACCTTAGGATCGAAAGATCGCTGCCTTGAAACCGATGCCCAAAACCGACATCCTCGGTTCGTCGATCATGCTTCAATCGTTCTGACTCACTCAGGAGAATCGAAGGAACGACGTCGAACTAATACACGGTAAATGGACACAGATGTGCAGGGCATCCTTCAGCCGTGCGCGATCTGCGCGCGGACCTTTAAGCCGCAATCGTTGGAGAAACACTCGAAAATATGCGAACGAGCAGCGAACAAGAAGAGGAAGCCGTTCGATTCGTCTAAGCAGAGGATCCAGGGCACCGAGCTCGCTGAATTTCTGCCGAAACAAGAGAAGAAACGATACGTCTCGGAGGATAGATTATCAAAACCAGCCGAGCCAACTTGGAAGCAGAACCACGACGAGTTTCTGCGAGCAATTCGCGCAGCTCGCAACGAGATCGTAAGTTTTCATATCCTGTATCAGATTTTCCTGGGACATCCTTGGTTCGACCGATATGTATACATATTTTATAGAAATTCATAGAATACTGTTAGATTCTGAATAATAAATAGAATCGTTACCGAAGGTCGCTCGGTAGAATTAAAAAGGAAAGGTAAATAGAGAAGAGAGGTGAGAATTATAGGTAGAGCGCAGATTAACCCAGATGCATCTCGAATGATGCAAGTGCATTCGCGCGTGAGATGAATTCACTTGATAGCAAGGAATATTAATCTGATCGATTATAACGTAATAGGTTTACCTTTTCGAGCGTAGTCATCTGGACAGGGTGGAGGTATTTTCGTTGTTGATCGAAATGGTCCCACCTGCTGATTTCATTATCCGACAGAGAATACGAATGGAGTAAACATTAAAAAATGATAATAATAAATAATGTGTACTTACTTACGATGGCTTTTCAGACGGATTTCACGATGCAGAAACCATGCGGTACAACGGTTACGTCCAGCGCCCCGACTCGCTCTAACGAGCAGGGTGCATGCCCCACCTGCAACAGACATTTCGGCGTCAAGGCTTACGACAGACACGTGGCTTGGTGCAAGGATAGGATCGCACACGTGCCGGTCAGTCCGGCGACGAACATCGCCAAGGAACGTCTCGAGGCACGGATGAAGTATCGTGCACCGGCTGTGAAGAGTCGTCGACAAGTCACCCGGGAGAAATATTCACCCAGTTCAGCGATCACCCTGAACTCTGCCAGCAAAACGTCGCCGAACCTTGCCACTGTTAAGGCCAAGGAATGCGCCTCGGCGCCCAACTGCAACAAGAGCAACGACAGTCCTGTTAAACACAAGCCCCTTGGGTAGGTTGTTTCATAAATAAATAATCGATAAATCAATCAATACCTATATAGGAAAGAATTTAACGATCGATCGATGAAGTAATTTTCAGTAGCCAGGACTGAAAGGGAGGTGTTAAACGTCGCATCTTAAATTTAGAGGAATAATTATGGAAACGATTGCTTCCTTATGTTACACCCTGTCTCGCTGGCCTCGTGCCAGGAAAAAAAGATTTCAGCTGTGACTTCCCCTATCTTGTAACCCGAGTTTAAACTTCTCTTTTAACATGATTTCCTGTTGGTTTCATAATGATTCTACAGGGTGTAACATAAAGAGTGTCTATTTCAAAATTAGACAATTATGAATACTTTGTTACGGTATAAAGATAAGCGTTTTGAAAAGAGTACAGTCATAGATTTTACGTCTAATTGGTTAAATTTAATTTCATTACAGCAGACGTTCGGCGCAAACGAAAGAGCCGGCCGCGTCTCACGTCCCCATGAAGTCGCGACCCATCGATCGCACAAATAGGTAAGTCGCAGGTTCGCGTGGCCAACGCCAATAGCCGTGGAGTATAGTTTAAATACACCTTAGTAGCGTGCATGAGGAGAAGGAAAAGGGACAAGGTTGTTTCCGCAAACTTAAATTCAAACGAAAGAGAAAATCGTAAATTCCGCTTACGTCTAATTAACGAAAAGCCTGATGACCTTCTCCTGATGTCAGGCATAAAATCCTTGATCCTGTTTCCTAATCCTCAGGCCAGCGGAAGACAAGCCCGGAACCCTGTCCCTTCGACCTGCGCCCCCTGTTAAAAGAATCTCTTACCTCCCCGTACCACCGTTGAAGCACACGAGAGATATTCTTGAAGAGACCGATATCATCCCCTCGTCGACGTCCTGTAAGAAACGGTCGAGGAAGGTGCAAGAGAGAGCGAAGAGAGAAGAGATAACCAGTTACAGGAGCAAGCAAGAGGAGAAGTATTCAGCGAGATCGCCGAAGACGAACATCGTTTCAACCAGAAGTCAGGGTAACCCGAAGGTGAACGACGTGTCGATCAATGACATCGTGGGCGTAACTGTGAAACCGTGTAACATATACAGAGAAAATTCGTACACCACTTGGAAGCAGATAAGTCAAGAAAAAATTTGTGAATCTAATTCTAATCAAAAAATGATTAAACCACAAAAGTTGCTCGAGGATCATGATAAGAAAGACGATGCACTGAAAATTGATTTCAACGAGGATACTTGTAAGGATGATAACGATAAATTAAGCTGTAGAAGCGAGAGCTTGAACTGGACGATGATCAGTTCCAAATTGAATCAAACGTATTCCTTCAAGGATCTGAACGAAGAGATCGAGAACGCGAGGGTTTCGAAGAGGCGGAAACCGG